AATAAATATATTCCAAAAATAAAATAAGAAAACGCCTTTTTTTTCTTTCGAAAGAAGTGTCATATAAAAAACAATTTGAAAATAATTTGGCATTAGATACCTGTCTTATTCTGACAATATTGCTCCACGGTTATTTATATATTCACATCTGCTCCACATTTATTCTATATTTCTTCTCATATTAGACTGATTGGTACTATTTTGTGTGCTTAAATTTGAACATATATATCGATAATTATCAATGTTTCCCTAGTTAATTAGCCACAGTCGTAATTATTAATTATTTTGCACAAGTCTTGTTTTATTTTGTTTTATAAGTGAATATGTTTTAGATTTTTAGTTTAACTATCTAATTCTTTCATCCAAATTTTAAGTTCATTGATCTAAATTTTGATCTACAGATAATTTTTAACTTTTTCAATATACATTTTTAATGATTTTAGTAACCTCTTTCATCTATTAACTTTTTGAGTTTTTTCATCAAAATCCTGACCAAAAACAATATTAACTTTTTCAGTTTATCATTTTCATGTTTTCTTATTACCTTCAAAATTGTTCTCATATATATTCTTTTTTTTTTCTCTCTATTTTTGATATCTTGATATTTCTCGATTTTTTCTGTTATAATTTTGTTGTTCTTATTTATTATTCTTCAGTTGTTTGTTTAAGCAAAAAAAAACATTTTGTTTTTCAGTTTTAGCCTCATAACTCATTTTTTACCATTTATGATTTTTTTATGATCATAGTAATCTCTTTTATCCATGTTTTTTCAAATTTTTTTCATTTAAATCCTCACATAAAAATTATTTCAAACTTTTTGATTAATTATTTTCATATTTTTTTAGTACATAAATTTCATTGAATTCATATTTCCAACTACTTCCTTTAAAATTTTGTATATTTATTTGTTGTCATATTTTTTCTATTATTTTTCTCTCTAATTTTGATATTCTCTTATCACTTCTTGATTTTTTTTTGTGTCTTAGTTTTATTTTTCTTGTTTTTTTTTGTTCTTCAGTTATTTGAAAATATTTTTTGTCTCAAAATTTGTTTTTTTCTTCATTTTTTTATTGATTGAATTTTTTTATGAGCTCAAACATGAAGACCAAATCACATAAAAAATAAAATAAGAAGACAGTCACTATACTTAGTAAATTTTAATTTCATTTATTTTAAATTTGTGCTTTAATATTTTTAATTTAGCACAGTTAATATAAATTAGATAATATATATATTTATGTTGTTTAATAGATTTTCTTTAGCTTTATTGTTCTTATTTGTTATTCTTCAGTTATTTTTAAAACATATTGTTTTCAGTTTTAGACTCATAACTTATTTTTTACAATTTTATATTTTTTTATGATCTTAGTAACTTTTTGCATCCATTTTTTCCGAGTTTTTTTATTTAAACCCTCACATAACGATAATTTCAAATTTTCTCAATTTATCATTTTTATATTTTTTTATTTCATATATTTCATTGAATCCATCTTTCCAACTAGTATCTTAAAAAATTAGTATATTTTTTGTTGTCATATTCTTTTTATTCTATCATCTTCTCAGGTTTATTTTCTTTTGCTCATTTTTTTCCCGTTTTTAAAATTGTTTTTGCTTAGCTTTGTTTCTTTCTAGAGTTGAGCTTTGGATTTTGCTTTTATGTATTTTTAGTAGATATAAAATTATTTTTTGAACTCATTGCATAGTTTTTTTCCTTGTCTTGTGTGTAAAGTAAAGATCTGGTTACTTTCTATCATTTCTATCATTTTTTCTTCTTTTCATTTCTATCATTTTTACCAAATTAAAAGACAAATTACATCATTTTTATTAGGTTATCTTCTAGCTTTGTTATAGAAATTACACTTACTACTCGATTGAGTTGTGAATCAGCCATGCTTACCCTAATATGCTTCTACCGGTATGGATGGATCCGGTGGAAGTGGAAGTGGAGCGAGGAACAAGTATATAATCATTTTTATAAGATCTTTTACCAGAATCTCATCAGGGTCTAGTTTGATGGCGCAGAGCAGCCATGGCTCAAGGAAATGATCAAAGGAGGGGATCTGCAATCGGTCCACACTTTCGTGGAGGCTCACGGAAAGAAGACTGAACTGCAAAAGCAAACAATTGAGGAAACGCAGAAGGCAATGGTGGACAGAGTTTTGAAGAACCTTGGTGTCGTTAAGCCTAACAAGCAATACTTTGAATATTCGGATGATAATACTAAGGAAAAAGGTAAACTCAGTTTTTTTTTTTGATTTTTTTTTGATTTTTCAATATATATTTACAATCTAAAGTCACTTTTTTGTTTGAATTCAAGGTTAATGTCGCACAAAGAGTGGAGATTAAGCTTTAATTTGCTTCTGTTTAGATTAAGGTACTAAAATAATGGGAATGTAAAACTCTCTTTTGGTATTATGATGTATTTGTCTCCTCCAGCTTGCACTATTTGTGCCTTTAATTAGAGATTTGAGTTTCGACTTTTGATAGAATGGTTGTAATTTTTGGTTGCTTTCTCTAGAAAAGGCAATACTTTATGTTTGTTTCGATTTACTCCATATTTGGTACTCCATTCATTTTGCTCTCACGGGTATGAGAGATAGACGACATTGATTACACTCCACTTTTTTGTTTCTTTTGGCATTGTTCAAACAAATCTTTTATATAATGATTTTCCATTAACTATATTTTGAGCACTTGTTTGGTTTCGGTGGCTAACAATGATTTTTTGTTTTAGGATTTGAAAAAAAAAACAATGCTTAAATTTTGAATCAGAAAATGTATACAAAACAAAAAAAAATCTGTCACGTATCATCATGTGACCGTTGCATATACTTGCACAGTTTTTGTCCAACAAACTAACATACTCATTTTTGTTGTTTAACAATGGTCAAAAAAGCGAACATACTCAGTTTTTATTCTTTTTTTTTCTGAATAAAATGGTAAATTATATTCAAGAAAAAAAATAAACGTTTTATAACTGGGCTTAACGATTAACTTTAACTGAGATTGGAAAAAAATTACATTGCTTTTAACTTAATCTGGTAGCAAACCACACATATAACCCATCTTCGTATTTCTTTTCACCTTGCTTCCTCGCTATGCTTAATCGATTTCTCATGGCGATTTCCATACTCTTTATCAGTTGCCGATTTGTGAGATTTTCCTCCCTATGCCTTGTTTTGTTTCTCTCACACCAAGTAAAGTGGATATATCCATTTGGAAAGCACTTGAGATTGCTTACCTAGTGGCATCAAATGCTTTCAATCTCCGACCAAACCAGTTGTGTGCCTTGTTCCCAAAATGCCTTTTCACAAGTTCAGAAGTCTCTTTTCCTTCATATTAATCCCATTTTTTATTTACTTAAACCTAACAACAAGAAAATCAAGCGGTGCAGCTAAACTCTAGGCAGAGTCCACTCTTCTTGACCACGGTGACAACTAGTGGTATCACTCGATTTCTCATTACGACCATCACCATCTTCATTTTCATCCCTATCATCCTCATTTTTCATCCATGGCAAGAGCAGGCATGCTTACTTCTACTCTAATCTGCTCTCCGTTATTCTCTCTAGTCAATGTTACACTCCGGTGTCCAGGTTTTGAAAGGAAAGTCACCAGAGACTGTTGTCTCTTCACCCTGCAAAAATAACATTTCCAATAACCAGAAACCATTTAAAAGCTATAATCAGAATACCAAATCAGGTTCATGCGATTTACGTCAACGCAGGAGGAGTATATACCGAAAACAATGCTTTAATTTCCCTACACCACAAATCCTAAATACAACAATGCTTGTGAAAATAAAGGCATGACCAAATTTGAAACTTACTTCAGAAAATTAAGGCATAAATACATCAAATTGTGAACATTTGCGTTTTTAATTCTCTTTCACAACCCAAACAATGTCTTCTAATATGATAATCTCTCGATTGTTTCCAGTGAATATAGTGAGCTAAAAATGGCAACCAAGGAAATGGGAAAAGAGGGTTAATTTACCATATGTGATCATCGGCTTCGAACGCATCATTGATCTTGGAGTCAATCACTTGGAGAAGCCGCTGATTGGAATATTTAGACATTTTATTAGAATAGATTATCTCTAAATGAAAGTCTAAAATAACTTAAATCACCATAAGTACTCTAATCATAGAAGAAGCTCAGAGTGGTATTGTCCAAACTCAATGCAAAAGTCACTTGGGTAAACGATTAAATTATAACGATACATACAATTTAGGACTCCAAATACATAATGCTCTCAATATCATCCTCAAAAACAGCCGACTGCAAACCCTTACTTAATCCCAAAAACCAGATTAAGCGTGACCAAACACTAGGTGGGTTTAAAGGCCCACGTTACAAAAGTTATTCAGTTGGGCCCAAGCTTAATAAATAAAACATATTATTAATTAGTTCATTTGTTATCTTGTCATCACCCATAAATACTATGTTTTGTAATTGGTACCGATTAGTGGTGTTTGATAACAATCATAAAAATTGTTTCATATTGTTCTGTATCGTTCTGGATAGTTGAAATCCGTTTCCGCAAGCGTTTTGCGATTGGAGACAGTAATTAGATACAAAAATAAAAATTTCAGCAATACAAAAAAAATGATCATGTAAAAGAAAAAAATATTGAAACCTAACCCTAATCTACTGTCTCGTCATCTATATATTTTGTCTTAGCAACTATCATTTTTTTCTTTCAAGTTCTAATCTTCATACAAAACTGAAATCATGACTTCAATATCAGTTGAAAAAAGTTAAAATACAAACATAAGTATCATACTGTAATATTTAGCATAATTATCGTAGTGTAAGTGAGATAATCAGACAAAAATATGTCCAAGATATTTTGGAGCTATTCTGCCTACTGAAAATGTATCCCTCCACTCAAATTGCATATAGATGTAAACAAAAACAATGATCAAGTACCAAAACTCAAGATAACACGCTGCTATATTTATTCATAACAAACTTAAAATGTAAATACGACATTGTTTTTTATTTTATTTTATTTTTCTTAGTCAAAGAGACAACAATGTTGAGGGTCATATTGGGACGATGGCTTGAGACACCGAGATAGTTGGCCATATACTGTGCATATTTGTCAAACACCGGTTCGATAACGGCTTCTCCAAAGTGAGCGACGAGCAACGGTTCAGTGATGCATCTTATCCCGGTCGCTCGCTCTTTACCGGCTTCGATTGATTGAAGTGAAATTTGCTCTTTATCTTTCTCAATTTTGTATGGGACAATATGGTCATGTGTCTCGATCTTGTTGATCTCGAAAGATCCCTCGTTTGAAATAACTTCCCTCACCTCATCTTCGTTTGGATTGTAGAACGGCATGTTGAAAGATTCCATCTCAGATTCCCTAAAAACCCCCTACACATTCACATTCCTCCAAAATTTTAGTATTTGAGATGTTAAATGGTACTACCTGAAAAATATTTTATGGCTGGTCGGCGAGAAAATACATAAATACATAAGTCGGTGTTATGGAGAAAAAAATTATTGACATTTTCTAGTTTATGTATTGAATTTTTTTTAAAAAAATGGAACGTGGTTTTGGCAACCAAAAAAAAAGATGAAAGAAAGGAAAAAACATAAACAATATTTGCTACAGATGTCACATTTGAGATTAGAAGGACCTACACTATATATAAAATGGGATAATTTCACCAATTAGCTTTGTATATTGTACTGATAATGATGAATGATATAACTCTTATGTATATATATTTATTAACAAGTTAGTGAAATTGAGTACCTCGGAGACTAGATCGAGGAGGCAATCGGATAACAACGACCAAACCTGGAAACAAGCTTTGGATAAATTGTCGGAAACCTTTCTCCCCACGAACGTGAGAACCATATGTCCATTAGGCACCATTTCTTCTGAACGCATCCTTAAGAACAACGAAAAATCATTCTTGAACTGATTCAAATAACTCTTGTAGACATCTGGAGGGCATGGATCTTTAATATGAATGCTTTTACTGTTGTTTTCGAGCCCATCGGGAACCTTAGAAAGCCAATGAAGACTAAAAGATGAATGAACAAGATGAAGAGACTTCCTTGGGAACAGCCTTGAGTAGAAAGAGTTTGGGACTCCTGACACGAAGCACCTTTCTTTGACCTCCATATCCAGCTTCTCTAGGAAGGAAGGAACCAACTTGAAGGTCGTGTTGAAGTCGTTATGTGGAAGATCGTTCAGACAACAATCCATCTCTGGTGTGTTGATTCGACCATTTTGTTGGTATGATTCTATAATCGTGTTGACGATCTCGGACATGACCAACAACGTGTTTCGTCTAGAAGAACAACCCAAGTCAGCGACTTTGATCCAAATTCATTAACATTTCTTTGATCTCTCTATCACCACATGTTGTATCTTGGAGAAAACACTTTTCTGTAAGTAAACCCCAAGATAAGAAAAACAGAACATGCATCATTATCAAATTCTCGTTCTTGTATTCATCATAATTAGTCATAATGTGCTTAAGTACCTGATAATGAGAATTAGTATCGTAACTGTGTTCTCCATTTCCCCCTTTCATACTAAAAGCATCCACCAAAGAGTCACTAAAGAATATATAAACAACAATTTTCAGTCAGATAAAATTGAAATTAAAATTACAAATTCATAGACAACGTGAGACTTGTTTAAACCACCACACACGCACGTAGCCATATTATAGTATGTACATCAATACACACAAGTGTAGAAGAAACTAATGTTTTACCTTGAGGGAGACATGATATACGCACAAAATGTTTGAATCAATTTCTAAATCCGATCTACAATGGTTATGAAGACCGTGCCTCGGACTTGCTGGGATAAGGGGTAATGCAAATACTACGTCACGTTCAAATCGTCAGAGGATTAATATTATTAATCATGACCGATTCCATTTTCTCTAATGCCACATTTAAAGACCACGTTTCTAAATTCTAACTACTATTAGTATAATCTCTGTATTGGAAATAAAGTAAAGGTTAAAAAATAGGAAAGGTATTGACCTTGGGAAGACCTAGAGGTTTTTGCTCGGATTCAAATCAGAGAAAATCCCGAAATTAACTATGATTTCAAATCACAAACCAATGAAGAATTACATTATGACTTCATTTGTACCAAAACAAAAAAACAGTTGCCGCCATCTTTCGAATGCTTATCGAATTTGGCCTTGGAGGCGTGTCTCCGGCGATATTCTTTGATGTGGTGGAGGATTGTGAGACTGGGTTGCATATTACTATCCAATTATCAATTCCATCAGCTTCTTCAACTCTCTAGTCTATCTGATCTTTCATTTAGAAAATTTGATGATGAGAAATAGTATTGGAATTTTTGTTTATGAAAATACATTTTAGGATTACATTCTTTTATATATTTCCTAAATTAGATAGATTCAAATCCTTAATATACTTTTTTCTCTAAAATATTTTTAACAAATATTTTCGAGACTCGTACTTGAGATATATTCTGGATCATACTATAGGTATATACATCTATAATCTATACGCGTCTTCCTGCAGCGGAATAGATAGCGACGAGAAAGACATTGTAAAACACAGCGGAGCAGTTAGTGGTGGATCTTAAAAAAAAATTAGTTGGGGGTATAAATTTATAAACAAGAAAAACAAAAATTAGTTGGAGATATACATTTATTTTAATTAAATTTATCTAAATATTAAATACAAAAATAAAATGAGTAGGGGATGCTTGACCCCGCTCCTTCACAAAGCTGTTGGATCGACGTTGACGTAGAGAGAACGAACACATGTATCGCCCTTTCAAAGATTCTTCGGTTGAGATTGGATGCATCATCATCTTTTTGGTTTTACATGCCAATTTTCCAAAATTATATGTTATTATGGCGAAGAAAAAAGAACTTGAAAGAAGTGACTCGTATATATGTCACAGATTTAATGAAATGTTATACAACAAATGTTTCCTGATTTTTAGTCTTTAGTTATGTTTTTCACACGAGGAATTACTTTTAGAAAATGTAAAAACATGAAAATTTGATGAATATTCTTTTTTTTATTGATGGATACTATAACGTTTTTATGTTTTCAAAACATGAACAAGTAATTTAACGTTTTTTTTGTTTTTTTTTTGTAAAAAAAAATACCACTCATCACCAATATTTTATCAATATCCCACCGGAAAATCCCAAGACGGTAACTCTTTGCTCACACATACAAAAAACATGGACCAACATATTATTGGCAGCTGCATAACGAGGACCTCCTCGATCTATGTCCTAGTTAACGAAACTACGATGATGAGTGTCATATTTGGGCGGTGGTTTGAAACACATAGATACTTGGCCATATAGTGTGCGTACTTGTTGAAAACCGGCTCGATAATTGCATCTCCAAAATGTGCAACGAGTAACGGTTCGGTGATGCATCTTGCCCAGCTTGCCTGCCTTTTACCGACTTCCATCTGAAGTGATTGGTCCTCCTCTTTTTCTTCTTTGATGCACTTTATTTTGTAAGGAACAATATGGTCAAATGTCTCGATCTTGCTGATCTCGAAGGACCCTTCCTTTAAGATAACTTCCCTCACATCTTCTTCGTTTGGATTGTAGAATGGCATGTTAAACGATTCAATATCTGATTCCTTCACAACCCCCTACACATTTTCACAAATTTTCATTACTTGGGAAAAAAATAATTAAAAAATTTAATCTCATTACAGTTTCAATCATAGTTGATAGTGTATGCTTTTAAATTACATTATTCCTACCTCTTTCATATATTTTTAGAATCTCGATTTTTTTTTTTTGGTCAAGTAGAATCTGGATTTAGACTTGGATCCCTCAATATCAGAAATAATATATATTTTTTTCGCAAAAAGTATCGTTTTAGGATTAATATTTTATATTTCAAAAATATCATTTTTTCTTATATTTTCAATACGACTGTTTAAACTAATTTTCAAATTTGCCATTAAATTTTGTATTTAAATAATATTAAATTAATCAGTTGGTCTATTAAATAGAAATATAAAGTATAGTTTCAAAGTTTTTTTAATATGCATGAAATGTGTCAAAAGTTGGTAATCAAATATGTACCTCAGAGACTAGATCGAGGAGGCAATCAGATAACAACGACCAAACTTGGAAACAGTCTTGGTATAAAGGATCGGAAACCTTTCTGCCCACGAACGTGAGAACCATGTGTCCATTAGGCACCATCTCTTCTGAACGCATTTTTAAGAACAACGAAAAATCATTCTTGAACTGATTCAAATAACTCTTGAAGACGTTTGGAGGAGATGGATCTTTAATATGAATGCTTCTAGTGTTGTTCTCAAGCCCATCTGGAATTTTTGAAAGCCAATGGATACTAAAAGATGAATGAACAAAATGGAGAGACTTGCTTGGAAACAGCCTTGAGTAAAACGAATTTGGGACTCCTGACACGAAGCACCTTCCTTTAACCTCCATTTTCAGCTTTTCTAAGAAAGAAGGAACCAAATTGAAAGTTGTATTGAAATCGCTCTCTGGAAGATCGTTGAGACAACAATCCATTTCTGGTAGATTTTCACCTTTTTGTTGGTACGACTGTATGATCGTGTTGATGATCTCGGACATGGCCAAGAACGTGTTTTGTCCAGAAGAACAACCCAAGTCTGCCACTTTGATGCAACCAGGAAAACTAACTTCCACTAGCATTTCTCTTACGTTTTCTATCACCACAGGTTGTATCTCATAGAAAACATTTCTCTGTAAAACCGCCCCCAAATAACAAAATTGTTATAATTAATTTTTTTTAAGAAAAGTATATTTTAATTTATAATGAGTTAAACGGCGAAAATGACATCCACTATATATAGACGAAAAATCAAAGCTTCATAGAAGAGTTACTTATCAAATGAATTATTAGTACATATCTATCGGTCTTGTTATTTCTTTTTTGGTTTCATCTATAATCAACACTAGTTATTTACTAATCCACACGTCTTAGCCAGTTTAAACGTGTAGGTTAACAATTTATATTCAAAATAAGTTTGTCCAACAAAAAAAAGATTAGTAATTAAGATCTAAGAAATTTTAAACATACCAAAAAAGAATCACTATTCATTTTATTTTCCACAAATAAATCTCAATTTACCAACAACCATTGAAATTTTACAATTTATGTCTGCTTGACCAAAAATACTCTACATTCACTAACTGTTGAGGAAGGATTTACAGAGTGAACAACTCCAATAACAGCAGTCAATTTTTTTTTTTTCTGACAATCAGATATTGAAATGTTTAGTGGGTTAGCAAACAAAATTAAGATTTTTTTTGCAGAAAATAGGTAATGAAAGGTTATCAAAAACTTTATTAATTATTTATCAAAACATATAAGTGTATGAATCAGAATAGTACGTACTGTGTTCTTATATCATGCTGAAGTACCTGATAATGTGAATTAGTAGCGTAACTGTGTTCCCCTGTTCCCCCTTTCATACTAAGAGCGTCCACCAAAGAGTCCCTAACATATATACTCCAAATTTAATCAACTAACACAGTGGTAAGGTTAATTAGGAAAACAATGCGAAAGAGTTACAACTAAAAGAAACGAATAATCCCATTTTAATGAAGATCAAAGAAATGAATCATTACCTTGAGGGAGACATGATGGGAAGTAAATGAATTTCTTTACTAAATTAAGAAAGTTTTGATTAGAAGATCTGGTCTTGAACTAGCTGGGATATGCTTTATATATGTTTAAAACTCAGTGCCGGACCGATCAATTTGGATGTCTGCGTCTAACTTTTTTAAATATGTCATTTTATATATTTTTTCAAAATTAAAATAATAAAAAACGAAATAAAAACTTTATAAAATAATTAAATTCCATAAACGGTTTGTAACAAAATAAAAGATCCAATAAAACATATAATTTTATTGCTGAAATATAGATTTTTTTGCATTTTTTCATGTAAAATTGTTTATTAAACTGTCGTAGTCGAGTTTTTCAACCATAGCTGTCTCAATTGATAACAAATCAAACCCATTTGGTGTTTCTGGTGACAAAGATAACTAAAGAGCACTTGTTAGAGCGAGCTGATAAATGTAACGGGCCATAGATGGACGCAGATTCACTTGGGGGTGTGGGGGACTCGCCCTCCACGGTACAGTTTTTTTATTGGGCTAGATTTAGGTTTTCCTTTATTTAGTGGATTTGGGAATCGGGTTTTTGAGGCTATAAATAAAAGACTTAGGGTATTATTCATTCACACAATTAATAAGAAACTCTAAACGGGTGTTTGCCTCAATTTACGATTTCTCTCTATTGTTTATTGCTTTCTTCGTGCTTGATTCTCAACACCATTCAATCGCTCTTGTAACATAGTAGCACACAAATAATTTTTTATCAGCTTCAACTTCGAGAAACTTCTTTCATCAGTGGCAACCGATACCAGAATGGTCAACAATATGCGATAAGTAATTTCTGTGTTTTGACAACAACCTTCCATTTTTTTTCAAAAAATCAAGCACTTCAATAGGCTTATGAAAATCATCTGGTATTGATATTCGAAGAATTTTCAGTTCCATAAACAGATCATCACCATTTATGTCTGAATGTATACCATTCTTTAAAGAAGCCTCCAAATTCGCATATGATTTCTTCAAACTATCATTTTGAATATCTTTATCAATGAAATATGTGTGTTTTAATCGTGGGTTTTTTTTTTACGTTGATGAGTCACATGGGCCTGACTTGAGTGTTAATCGAACTTTTTTTCCAAATATTTTTTTCCTAAAGATGAAAATAATCATGAACTCTAATTACGCATATAATTTTCTTCAAGTAATTCAAAAAAACTTTTTTTCCTTGAACCCTAAGCAATCCTGATAAATTCACTTCTATTCATTTCTCGTTTTTTCTTTTGGTTTGCCAAAATGTGTTTATCTCTTAAAAGTTCCTTGTTTGAAAGATATAACGCAAAATGTAACACAACTGAATAACGGAACTTTCTCTATCGTGACATAGTTTTTCATTGTTTAGGACAAGAATAAAACTAACCATATTTTTTTATATCTTGAATTCGAAATAGTGAATATAAAACGAATAAATGCAATAGAAATGATGAACATAGATGGAGAGAAATATTTTCAAATCATACATTAATTATTTCATACTATAAATTTTCAGAGGTATATATTGATGTCTTTGCCTGATCCAATTTTTTCCTCTAAAAAATCAACCAATTGCATCCTGATTTCCTGAATATTAGTACAGCCGCACCTTTGCAGGTCACATGTACGTAGTGACACAAAAAAACTTTAATGGTAACGTGAGTCTTGATCCCCATATCTCGAATCTCCGCCACAAATCTTTCAGATTGATTGGATTTTACAGAGGATGCCTGTGAATAAATCCATCTTTCCAGCTCAGAGTAATTCATATCCACGTACTATACTATATTTCTAAATTTGTACATGCCACTGATAGCAAATATCCAGTTCAAGTCCCAAGAAATGGGAAAATAGCAAAATTTAGATGATAAAAATTTGAATCACAAGAAAAATAATTTTATTTGGACAACATTCTGAAAACAGTTAAGATAAATAAATAAAAAACGGAAAGTTTAGAGATTCTTTTATTAAGTAACAAATAGTTTTGCTAACTTTTCATATGTGTTAGGAGTAGATGATATAGTGTTATTTTTTTTTAGATAGCATCTGATTGATTGATCTTTAAGAAACAGTACATAATAAGGAAGACAAAAGTTACAACTTACAACCAAGATATAAGTATATAACATACGATTTAAAACTAATGTGTGCTTCCCAGGCGAGGCTATCTACTATACCATTGACTTCTCTGGATATATAGCTAAGGAGAAATTGACTAACCTTATAATATCATCAATGTAAACCAAAAGGGATGGGGGGAGTTGATTGGCGCAATGCTCAGCATCCTTCATATTGCGGGTCGACCCGTCGAAGTCTCCTGTGAGAGCATAAAATAGGTGGTCTCTAAAGTACATCAATGGCACACGAAAAGAGAACACACATAATTCACATATAAATATCGTTCTAGATTATATCAAATATAATTTCCTTATTAAAAAAAAAAAACTCTTTGAAATGATAAAAAGACAAACATATACTTCATCCAAAAGAGGAAGACAAATCACATAAACTGGGGTCAAAGAACTTAAGCTTACTGGATAATGTATAAATACATGGTTATTATCGTAACCAGCAAAGCAATACGAAACCTTTTATTTTCTAGTCAATGAAACGACAAAGTTGACGGTCGTTTTGGTGCAGCTTCTTGAAACAATGTAGTGTCGGGCTGCGTTGTGTGCGTACTTCTTAAACAGACGGTCGATAATAGCATCTCCAAAATGAGCAACCAACATCGGTTCGGTTATGGATCTTTTTCTGTTTGCCATCAGTTCTCCAAATTTTAATCGACATGTTTCATCGTCATCTTCCTGGCTATCTTCGTATGGAACTAGATGTTCATGCGTCTCGAAATTTTTGATCTCAAATGATCCTTCATTTTGGACAACTTCCCTCACCTCTTCTTCACCCGCGTCATAGAACGGCAAGTTAAATGAATTCACCTCTTCCTCCTTTACAACTCCCTACACACTCACAAAATATATATCAGGAATCATACACTAAGGTCAAACGTAGTATATAAGATGCATGGAACTCTTTAGTACTTATTATCATTTGATATTGAAATTTGAACTCCAACACTATATAAATTCATATATACCCAAAAAAGAGAGCATTTAATGATTACCTCGGAGACTAAGTCGAGGAGGGAATCAGTCAACAACGACCAATAATGACACATCTCTCTATATAGAGGATCAGAAGCATTCCTGCCTTTGAATATGAGAACCATACGTCCATTAGACACTACTTCTTCAGAACGCATTTTTAAGAATAAAGAAAAATCTTTTTGAAACTGATCCAAGTAACTCTTGGATACATTTGGAGGGCAAGGACTTCTAATATATATGTTCCTCTTGTTATCCTCAGTCCCTTCAGGGACTTTAGAGAGCCAATGGATACTACCAGCTGAACGCACAAAATGAAGAGATTTGCTCGGGAAAAGCCTCGAGTAAAAAGAACCAGGGACTCCTGAGACGAAGCATGATGTCTTAACATTCATCTTCTGATTTTCTTGGAAAGAACATGCCCACTTGAAGGTCATATTGAAATCATTATCTGGAAGATCGTTTAGACAACAATCGATTTCTGGTGGGTTCCGATCCTTTTCTTGGTACAAAGTTATGATCGTGTTGACAATTTCAGACATGGCCAAGAAAGTGTTTTGTCCGGAAGAGCAGCCCAACTCAGCCACTTTAATGCATTCAGGAAAGTGCAAATCCAATAAAGTTTCTTTAATATTCTCTACCACCAGCGTTTGTGATTTAGAGAAAACCGTTTTCTACGAAGCCAGACATACCAAAAACATATAGATTTGGTTAAAATATATTTACGTAGATTCAGGTCTTGTACTATTCTATAATTATCATAGCTAGATGATTAAGTACGCACCTGATGGCCAGAATTATTAGCATAGCTATGTTCTCCATCGCCTCCATTCATACTAACAACACTGATGAAAGAGCTCCTATTATATAAATTGAGAGATCATATCAAAATCAAGATTAACTAGGAACAAATACATAAGCTCAAGGGATATAAAGTCATTAAGTTATGATCAAAGTTGTTTACCTATTTAATTAGTATTTACTGAAACACACAAAATTGAAGAACATAGAAAATAATTGTTTACCTTGAAGAAGACATGATGTGGAGAAAAATCTTTGAACCAATATCTTATAAGATCAAGAGTTTTGCAACTCTTTGTTAGAATTATATCTGGTTTGGGATAAGCTATATATATGCATTTTATTTTTTAATTAAAAAAAATCAATTTGGAATCTAAATATAAAATTTGTAACGACCAAACGGATCAAGTGTATTCGGCTCGTTTTTAATTTTTCTGATTTTTTTTTAAGAATACTTTCTTTGTTTCACGATGTTTTAATTCTAGATTTGTATTCTTGTTTCACAATATTGATTTTCTAAATTTGTATTCTCACAAACATGTTTATCTCTATTTCTTTCAATTTCATCAGCCGATCAGAGAACGGAAGGGCAGATTCCCTTGCAAAGAGATCTCTTTGTGAGTTCTCTGAACCTCAATTGCTGTAAGACTGCTTTTATTTATTTAATTAAATAGACTTTCAAAAAGTATTTATTTTTTATAAATTAATGATAATAAATGGTATACTTTAAGAGATTAATTGAGATTGTTGAATTATCATTAATTTATATTTATATAAAAAATATTCACTGAGAAAAAAATAATATATTTATAATTAAATTTTGTTTCTTAATCTATGTAAAATATTCAAAAAATCAAACTTTATGAAACAGAGAGAGTATATATTTTTCTCTGTTATAACAAGACCACATATATAGTAGCAAGTCAATTTTAATTTTAATACTCCATCTGTTTTTATATAAGTGATATTTAAGGTTTTTTACACAGATTAAAAATTTATTTAAATTTTCTTTTTTTTTTAATATGAAAACATCATTTATTATCTATTTAAATACAATTCAATCAATAAAAAACATTTACAGAATATGAATAGTCAAAAACAAGAAAATATTATTAAATTTTGTATTAAAATTGAAAATATCAATTATTTTTTAAAAAAGCCTTAAAACATAAATTATTTTTTTAGAATAAATGGAGTATTAGAGTTAGGTGCAATGACTAGTCTTCACAAGCATGTATTATTATAAAAAAACTGTTTGTTCAACCCAACTGTGAACTTCAAAATTTAATAAGTCTTTCCATTTTTTGTCTTCTGGCATAAGTCTTTTCACTTTTTTGTCGGAAGTCTTTTCGTTTTTTTTTTCTTCTTTTTTTATCCAAATTTTGAAGTTATGTTTCTTGTATTTTTGTTTCATAAAGTTTGATTTTCTAAAATTTTTATTTATTTTTATAAATTAATGATAATAAATAATATAAGATATTAATTGAGATTGTTGAATAATTATAATTTATAATTATATAAAAAATATTTCATGAGAGAAAATAATAAATCTATAATTGAACATTTATTGTTTCTTAATCTATAAGAAATATCCAAAAAATCAAACTTTGTGAAATAGAGAGAGTATATATTTTTCTCTGTTATTAAAAAACCTAGCAAGTCAATTTTAATTTTACTAGGTGAATACATGTATATAAGATAAGATGCAGGTTTTTTTTTAACTTTTTGAAATTTATATATTTTTGTATTTTCCTAAGAAAATATAATCATCATATGATTTGTTATGTGTTAGTATATTATTAATTCAATCAATTTAAAATATAATATCATAAAAAAATTAAGAGTTTATACAAAAAATATTTATCAATATTTTTAATTAATTATAATATAAAATTTTATTTAATATTTATATTAATGTTATTTAAGAATCAATTAATAAAAAAAACCTTTCATATTTTTTAGTGGTTTAAAATTTAATATTAAAATTTATCAATTATTTAAAAAAAAAATGTTACACTTATCATCTTTATATCAATCGAAATTGATGATGTGACACTCGGCTCTCTATTATATATAAGATCTCTTTTGATATAATGATATTTAAGGTTTTTTATATAGATTAAGTATTCATTTAATTATTTTTTATACTAAAAATATCATTTGTTATCTATTTAAATATAATCTAACCAATAAAAAACAGTCTGCAAAATACATACAAATAGTCAAAAACAAGAAAAGTGATTAAATTTTGTATTAAAATTGAAAACATCACTTATTTTTAAAAAAACTCTTAAAACATCAATTATTTTTCAGAATAAATAGAATACTAGAGTAGGTGCAATGAGTTGTCTTCACAAGCATGTATTATTAAAAAGACGGTTTGTTCAACCCAGCTGTGAGTGAACTCTACCTTTTTTGTCGTCTGGCATAAGTCTTTCCATTATTTTCTTCTTTTTCGGATAGGCATGCAATTGTATGTTATGTGATAGATACATGGTAACCACTAGACAAATTCCTAAGATCACCTCTAACCCTAAATCTCATGATGAGGTTCATCAGTATTTTTTATTAATTTTTTTAAGAGAAAATTTTTGGAAGAAGCCGATGAAGTTTTAGACGTCCAATCCTGAACTCGATGAAACTCAATACTCATTAATTCTTTTTTTATTATTATTTCGACTGAAACCAATAAAGAAGCAACACGTGGCCGATGAACCTCAACAAAAGACGCCTCTTCAGGTTCATCATGAAGAACCGGTTGTTTCATTTTTGAGCTTTTAGTTTTTATTTTAAATACAAAAAGGTTTGTGACCCCACCCATAAACCCCATATATCCTTGTGTTGGAGGTGCTCTAATGGCCCACCACCGGATGAAGTGAGCTAGTATTGATTAGTACAGGAGTTGATCTTATGTATTCGGTGGAAGGGATGCTCTACGCCATGTTATAAAGTATTAGCAAATTGATGAGATTGAAGTTTAAAAAGATAGAATAGTAATCCGTTAGTTTTGAGAATAGCCAAAAAATATGATAATCGTAAAATTATTTATTTAATCTGAGAATATTCATATAAATTTAGCCTTCTTAAATTCGTTGAGATCTTTTTAGATCTATCAAATATAAAGAACAAATAGATAAAAACTCAATTCAATTAATCAATCAAAAACTGAATACAACTTATGCCTAAACAACTTATTTATAATAATTTCAAAACACTAAAAAAATTCTAAAATAAGAAAAATAAATTGTCTAAATAACTTAATAAATAATAAAAATATTTAGAATATTTTTAATATCTCACTACATCACAAATACTGGTCCGGGCCATGGGGAATTAAGGCTCAAGAATCCCTTCTAGTTAATAAAAAAGAAAAAAAGAAAAAAAAAATTCTAATGGCCTTCCTTAGTAGTAAATCAACGAAATGACGAGGCTGACAATCGTTTTGGCATGTCTTATCATATTATGCTACGGGTTTCATAAATCATTGTATTTTAAATTTGTAAATGGGTATAAAAAATGATTTTCTTTTAGATTTTGAAATAATAAAAAAAGAAATTAAGCAACTTCATGAAATGACGAGAGATAGACATAATTAATATTTACATTGATGAGGATCAACTATAAATTGTGGATACTGTTTTGTTTTGGAGTCGGATTTACAAATTTCATATTATTATTTTCTTTCATACTCTAGGAATTTTCTTGATATATCTTTCGTTCATAGATCACAAAACACAAGCATTCAATGAAGCATGTAACAATTTTTTTGGTTATTTACCTGAAGTAAAACAAATCATTTACCTTATTAGGCCATCTCCAACGCGGTATCATCCGCGATACGTCAGTGGGTTCGAAAGGTTAGAATACAATTAAAAAAAACTTTGGGCTGAATTATTTGGATGTACCGTCTCTTCCAGATGAGACCGACAAACTCGTCTTAAGCCAGTATCGTTGATGACGTGTCGGAAGGTGAGTAGCTGGAATGGAAAGGAAAGTGGTGTGTTTTTCATTTTTTTTTGCCCGTCCCATTTTGTTTTCGACAGAGAAGTCGTGTGTTTTTCTTTGAGTCTTTTTCTGTCACTTAAAAAATAAACAAAATATTAATATTTAATCAAAAAAACCCTTATATTGAGGATCAGGGTTGGAGGGGTATAAAACATAGAGTCCTTCCCAACTAAAAAATAAATGTTAAATGAAATTAAAAAATGATAAGAGACCCAAACTGGATGGATATCAGCTCTTAGTCAAAGAAACGACGAAATTCCATGTGGTAAATAAATATTTTGCTATTTTCCCACTTAGGTGATATATAGATCTTTTGACATTTTCAACTATTTCTCGAATTAAAGTTCACATGATTAGTAGCCAGTAGTCACTATACCCTCTGACTAAATCAGACGTTCAAGCGTCTATATACCTTGTTAATCATGTACTTTTATTTATAGCTAAATTTGAATCGGGCACTATGCGCAAGTTTTCGACTACAAAATATATTCAAGTTTAATTCGTTGAATCTACAAAAAAATCTTTGGAGGACAAGATGGACTGGATATTGAATTCAAATCCTGATGACAGAAATGGAAACTAATTTAACATTGTGTTTTCTAGTCTTGTGAATTATACGAAGAAATATGTATTTTTTTATCACTATGTGAAAACCTACCTAAATTTCATATCAAATCAATTGGCTTATACACACTCAAAAAAAAAAACTCTAAATAAACAAATATAATACCTTAAAAAGAGTATAGAAAGGAAGCCAATAGATATCAATTAAACAACAACAATTTGACGTCGAAAAAAAAGAAAACAAAATAAAAATATTAATTAAAATGCATCAATAATTCAGACCATTATTCTGCATGCAAATCCTCGATCTGATAAGTAAATAAAAACTATTCCGATTTATTTCCTAGTGAATGAAACGAAACATTCAGCTGTCTTCGTATTGAAATAGTTGCTCGATATATGAGCCGCACGGTGTGCTAGCTTGTTGAACAAACGGTCGATAATGGCATCTCCAAAGTGACCAGCAAGCATTGATTCAGTGACGGATCTCATTTATTATCGTAACCAGCAAAGCAATACGAAACCTTTTTATTTTCTAGTCAATGAAACAACAAAGTTGACGGTCGTTTTGGTGCAGCTTCTTGACACAATGTAGTGTCGGGCTGCGTTGTGTGCGTACTTCTTAAACAGACGGTCGATAATAGCATCTCCAAAATGAGCAACCAACATCGGTTCGGTTATGGATCTTTTTCTGTTTGCCATTATTTCACCAAATTTTAATCGACATGTTTCATCGTCATCTTCCTGGCTATCTTTGTATGGAACTAGATGTTCATGCGTCTCGAAATTGTTGATCTCAAATGATCCTTCATTTTGGACAACTTCCCTCACCTCTTCTTCACCCGCATCATAGAACGGCAAGTTAAATGAATTCACCTCTTCTTCCTTTACTACTCCCTACACACTCACAAAATATATATCAGCAATCATACACTAAGGTCAAATGTAGTATATAAGATGCGTGGTATTCTCTAGTACTTATTATCATTTGATATTGATATTTGAACTCCAACATTATATAAATTCATATCCAAATTAAAAAAAAAAAATTAAAAGAGAGCATGTGATGACTACCTCAGAAACTAAGTCGAGGAGGGAATCAGTCAACAACGAACAATAGTGACACATCTCTCTATATAGAGGATCAGAAGCATTCCTGCCTTTGAATATGAGAACCATACGTCCATTAGACACTACTTCTTCAGAACGCATTTTTAAGAATAACGAAAAATCTTTTTGAAACTGATCCAAGTAACTCTTGGACACATTTAGAGGGCAAGGACTTCTAATATATATGTTCCTCTTGTTATCCTCAATCCCTTCAGGGACTTTAGAGAGCCAATGGATACTGCAAGCTGAGTGAACAAAATGAAGAGATTTGCTTGGGAAAAGCCTCGAGTAAAAAGAACCAGGGACTCCTGAAACGAAGCACGACGCCTCAACATTCATCTTCTGATTGTCTTGGAAAGAACATGCCCACTTGAAGGTCATATTGAAATCATTATCTGGAAGATCATTTAGACAACAATCGATTTCTGGCGGGTTCCGACCCTTTTCTTGGTACGAAGCTATGATGGTGTTGACGATTTCGGACATGGCGAAGAAAGTGTTTGGTCCGGAAGAACAGCCCAACTCAGCTACTTTAATGCATTCAGGAAAGTGCAAATCCAATAAAGTTTCTTTAATATTCTCTACCACCATCGTTTGTGCTTTAGAGAAAACCGTTTTCTACGAAGCCAGATATACCAAAAACAGATAGATTTGGTTAAAATATATTTACGTAGATTCAGGTCTTGTACTATTCTATAATTATCACAGCTAGATGATTAAGTACAAACCTGATGACCAGAATTATTAGCATAGCTATGTTCTCCATCGCCTCCATTCATACTAACAACACTCATCAAAGAGCTCCTATTATATAAATAGAAAGGTCATAACAAAATCAAGATTAATTAGGACCACAAATAAATAAGCTCAAGGGATACAAAGTCATTAAGTCATGATAAAAGTTTTTTTGTTTTAGTTATGATAAAATCTGTTTACCTATTTAATTAGTTTTTACTGAAACACACAAATTAGAAGAACATAGAAAATAATTGTTTACCTTGAAGAAGACATGATGTGGAGAAAAATCTTTGAATCAACTTCTTATAAGATCTAGAGGTGTTGCTACTCTTTGTTAGAATTATATCTGGTTTGGGATAAGCTATATATATCCTTCTTGTTTTAAATCGAAGCAATATATATATATATGCATTTTATTCTTTAATTAAGAAAATAAATTGGAATTTAAATATAACATTTGTAACGACCAAACAGATCAAGTGTATTCGGCTCCTTTATAAAAAAATTCTGGTTTCTTTGTTAAAGACTATACATTTTTCTCTGTTATAAAAAAAAACCGCATATATAGTAGCAAGTCAATTTTAATTTTATTAGAGTTAGGTACAACGATTAGTCTTCACAAGCATGTATTATTTTTTTAAAAAAAATTAAAAAAAAAAACGATTTGTTCAACCCAGCTGTGAACTCTCTACCGTTTTTTGTCGTCTGGCATAAGTCTTTCCATTTTTTTTCTTCTTTTTTTCCCAAATTTTGAAGTTATGCTTCTCTCATGTTGCCTAGTAGTTAAGAACTCTTTTAACATGAATAGTATATTGTACACCCATATAAAATGGTTTTGGATAGTTATGCAATTGCATGTCATGCGATAGATACATTGTAACCACTAGCCAAATTCCTAATGGCCTTCCAAATCAACGAAACGACGAGGCTGGCAATCGTTAAGGGATGTATCATTTTATGCTACGGGTTTCATAATTCATTCAAGTGGAATTGCTAGAGACTAGAGAGGTACTTGTCGCCTCTTTCAGTAGTGCACCAGTTTAATCATTGTACTTTATTTGTAAATGAGTAAAATATAATTTTGTTCGAAATTGTGAAATAATAAAAAGAAATTTAATTAAGCAACTTCAGAAAATGACGAAAGATAGACATAATTAATATTTACATTGATGAGGATCAAATATAAATTGTGGATACCGTTTTATTTTGGAGTCGGATTAACAAATTTCAGAGCAATTGACGAGTAAGCGGCCTCACCGAGATTAGTTTCTTTCTAAAATGAGGAATTTTCATGATATATCGTTCGTTCATAGATCACAAAACACAAGCATTCAATGAAGCATGTAACATTTTTTTTTTGTTAGTTACCAGAAGTGAAACAAATCATTTATCTTATTAGTCAACGAAACGACGAAATTGCATGTGGTAAATAAATATTTTGCTATTTTCCACTTAGGTCATAGATCTTTTGACATTTTCAACTATTTCTCGAATTAAGTTCACATGATTAGTAGTCAGTAGTCACTATACCCTCTGATTAAATCAGACGTTCAACCGTCCATTGTTAATCATAATCATACACTTTGATTTATAACTAGATTTGTATCGTGCACTATGCGCAAGTTCTTCTCGACTAAAAAATATATTCAAGTTTAATTGGTTGAACCTAAAAAATCTTTGGAGGACAAGATGGACCGGATAATGAATTCAAATCCTGATGACAGAATGAAAACTAATTTAACATTGTGTTTTCTAGTCTTGTAAAGTATACAAAGAAATTCATTATGTGAAAAAACCTACCTAAAGTTGGCTTACACAAAAAAACTCAAAATAAAGAAATATATTACCTTAAAAAGAAAATAGAAAAGGAAGCAAATAGATATTAACTTATCAACAACAATTTGACGTCGAAAAAAAAGGAAAAAAAAATAACAAAGATTAATTAAAATGCATCATTATGTAAAAAAAAAAAAAATGCATCCACTATTCAGACCATTATACTGCATGCAAATCCTCGATCTGATAAGTAAATAAAAAGAATTCCGATTTATTTCCTAGTCAACGAAACGAAACATTCAGCCGTCTTCGTATTGAAGTAGTTGCTCGATATATCAGCGACACGGTGTGTTAGCTTGTTGAACAAACGGTCGATAATGGCATCTCCAAAGTGACCAGCAAGCATTGCTTCTGTGACGGATCTCAAACTGTTTGCAAAGTTTTTACTATTTTCCAGTCGACTTTGGTCAGAGTAATCTCCTTCTTCTACACATCCCTTCTCGTGTGGCGTAGGAAATTTAAACGTACCAAACTTATTAATCTCGAATGAGCCTTCCTTGGCAACAATCTCCCTCACCTCTCCTTCGTCGGGATTGTAGAACGGCAAGTTAAAAGATTCCACGTCTAATTCATTCACAAACCCCTACATGCACTAGCTCTCATCACATTCCTTGATAAAATTTATTTTACCAAAACTTTCATGGTTCTTAATTTGCTCATCATCTCGGACAGATGACCAGATCAGGTAAAAATAAATAAAAGTAAAATAAAGTAGGTTAATAAATACCTCAGAGACTAGATCAAATAAGGAATCTGATATCAATGACCAATTGCCAAAACAGTCTTTAGACAATGGATCAGAAGCTTCTCTGCCTAGGAACGTGAGAATCATGCGCCCATTAGACACTATCTCTTCCGAACGCATTCTAAGAAACAACGAGAAATCCTTTTGGAACTGATTCAAATAACTCTTGTAAAGATTTGCGAGGCATGGACTTCCAGGATAAACGTTCTTTTTGTTATCTTCAATCCCTTCAGGAACTTTAGAGAGCCAATGGATACTATATGATGAATGAGCAAAATGAAGAGAGTTTATTGGGAAAAGCCTTGAATAGAAGGAACCTGGGGTTCCCGAGACAAAACATTTTCCTTTAACGTCCATGTTCAGCTTCTCGTAAAAAGAAGGGATCAATTTGAAAGTTGTGTTGAAGTCGTTCTTGGTAAGATCGTTTAAACAACAGTCGATCCCCGGTGAGTTTTGACCTTTTAGTTGGTATGATTCTATTATCGTGTTGACAATTTTGGACATGGCCAAAAATGTGTTTTGCCCGGAAGAACTGCCCAAGTCAGCCACTTTGATGCACTCTAGAAACCCCAACTCCAATAACATGTCGTTTATGCTCTCTTCCACCAGCAATTGTGTTTTGCATACAAGATTTTTCTGGAAAGTCGAAAATATGATTATGAAAAAGAGAGTAAATTGTCTTTTATATCTATGATAATATAATAGTCAATGTACCTGAATAAGTGAATTATTAGCGTAGCTGTGTTCTCCATCTCCCCCATTCATACGAAGAGCATCCACCAAACGGTCCCTAGTAACAATAAAAATAAAAACGCTTGGTTTGGTTTGGTTTTGTTTGATCATATAAAATTCACAATTCGGGTTCTTGATGCCAATAAGAATATGATGAATACTAGTCAAGGTACATAAACAGAAAGGGTACACAGTTATTGATTAGTTGTGATATAAACTTTACCTTAAAGAAGACATGATGTGGAGAAAAATCTTTGAAGTGCTGCTACTCTTCGTTTATATTTAGATCTGGTTTGGGATAAGCGATATGCTTCTACTTTTAAACTACTCCTAATTCACAGTCAACAGTTTGGAATATATTTGAATTTAATGTTTTAATTAAAGCCAATTTGGCATATAAAGTTATAACTTACAGTATATCCTCTGTTATATAAAAAGACCATGTAGTAAGTCAAGTAAGTGGGTTGTTGGGTCTTCTATAGTAATTTTATTAGAGTCAATTTCATGCAATAACTTACTCACCAATTTATAGTCATCCATGTGATGAAGAATGATGTCATGTGATAGATGTAATCATGTAAATGGTGATCGTTTTGGATTTTTGAGGCCACAAGAATTACAAAAACCATCAAATATGGATGTAAACATAATATTTTCTTAAGGAATAATAATTTATTAATTCTTGTAGATTTACATGAAACATCTTATATTTTAAAACAGAAGAGCTATACAGAGTTAGTTTTGTGTATTAAAAACAGTATAAATTTCAGTTTCAGCAGATTTGTGAAGCTGCGTTTGGAAATATGTGGATATAGGTCCCAGTCTCAGCCATATGAAAGAAGTCAAAAAAATTTAGTACACTCAAATTTTTTACCTGATCGATTATCTTCCATGTCTAGAAAAAAATTAAAATTTCTATCTCACCCCAATTTCTCAGTATAAAGACATCTAATCTTGCTCTGCCAAGCAACTTGGTGGCAGAAATGTCCAAAAAAACTTTAATGATCAAACAATATCCATTTTCCATATTTCCGATAATCCATCTGTAAGTCTCTCTCCAAATTCTCAGCCGCATATATTTCAAAATGTTTTTTATTTTTACTTTTTTCGACAAGATTGGTTATTTTGTGATAAGTCGGAAACTATAATTAATATTATTTTTTTGGCTTTTGGTAGAATTTGTTTTATCTATTATTCCAATGTTGCAGTAAATAATTGTGTCAATAATGCAAAGTTTGTCTCCAGCTTTGAACAACCAAGAATCTGGAAACAAAATATACCAAATAACTCAAAAATCTAAAAATTTGATATCCCAACCCAACAATAGAAGTAATGTTTACAAATAGTTAACCGGGCGTCTAACACCGCGTGGGATTTCGTTATAAATGAACCTAAAGTTCCCGATGCAATTATGCAAATGATTTCGACGTTAAGTGAAGATTTGATCCATAGGTTACACTGCAAAAACATAAAACTGATGTCCAAAATTTTGAATCTGGAGTGCATCGTGGCAACCAAACTATTTTGCCGCTAAGAAGATTTTGTCATACATTCAATTAGTCTACTACTCCCAAAAGGGCCAAAACTTAAATACAAGGATATAATAAAGAGACTTAAGATTTCTTGGAAAAAAAAAAAACATTTCTTGAAAAGGCTTTGAAGATCGAAGACGTTATTGCTTTTTTTTTAATGATTTGAAATTTCAAAAATACGTACATATCTAGAATTGCATGAACGTAACTTCACAAAAATTAAATTCTCATAAAAGAAAATGTAAAAATCAGGCAATTGTACTAATCACAATAGCTGACAATGTATACGTTGGCCAAATTGATCCAATGATTATTAAAAGTTAAAATCGTTTTTATGGCTTCTTCAATTATTCAAAGCATCAAATCTAATTCATGTTACTTCTTAATCAACGAAACTAAGAAATTAACCATTGGTTTGTTGCGCAAAGTATGGTAACTTTGGGCTAAATGGTATGTATACCTATCGAACAGACGATCAATAATGGCATCTCCAAAATGAGCAGCAAGCATCGGTTCAGTGATGGATCTTGCCAAGTTTGCCCTCTTTCTAACGACTTCAAATACACGTGATTGGTCCAAATCATCATCATCTTTCACTTCAGTACGACCAGTTTTGTGTGAAAAGAGAAGACCAAATATCGTCTCAAAATTGTTGATCTCAAAAGTGCCCTCGTTTTCGATAACTTCCTTCACCTCATTTTCGTCCGGATTGTAAAATGGCATGTTGAAATATTCCACTTCTGATTCTTTCACAATCCCCTGCATGTACCACAAAATTTTATTATAACTACGATCTGCATGGCTTTTATTTAATCATGTGCCAATGGTAAAAAATAGAAAACAAACAAAATTATGGCGGTTGAATGACTTTTATTATCTTTCCACTGCAATTTCAATTATGACTAGCCAATATAAATATTTTAAATAACAATAATACTTGGCGTTCCACATATTAATTGGAAATTTAATTTATAACAATAGACAAAAAATAGAAAACAAAGAAGAGTAATATAACAAATATACCTCAGAGACTAAATCGAGGAGAGAATCAGATATCAGCGACCAATCTCGAAAACAATCTTTTGATAAAGGGTCCAAAGCTTTTCTGCCCAAAAAAGTGAGAGCCATGCGTCCATTAGGCATTGTCTCTTCCGCACGCATTCTCAAAAACAATGAGAAATCATTCTTGAACTGAGCCAAGTAACTCTTGTACACATTTGGAGGGCATGGGCTTCTTAGATACACGTTCGTCTTGTTTTCCTCAAGACAAGGAGGAACCTTAGAAAGCCAATGGAGACTAAAAGATGAATGAACAAAATGAAGAGACTTGCTTGGGAAAAGTCTCGAGTAGAATGAGCCTGGGACTCCCGAGACGAAACACATTTCTTTAACATCCATCTTCAGCTTCTCGTGAAAGGAAGGGATCAATTTGAAGGTAGTGTTGAAGTCGTTGTCTGGAAGATCGTTAAGACAACAATCGATCTCTGGTTGGATTTGACCCTTTTGTTGGTATGTTGATATGATCGTGTTGACGATCTCGGACATGGCCAAGAAAGTGTTTTCACCGGAAGAACATCCCAAGTCGGCCACTTTGATACACCCGGGAAAACCCATCTTCACTATCATTTCCTTTACGTTTTCTACCACCGCCAGTTTTGCTTCGGAATTAATAATTTTCTGAAGTTAAAAAGTCAATTAATTATATGCAGCATGCAACCTTGAACCAATGATGTCAAAAAAAAAGCGAGACAAAAATGGGTTGCTCAGAAAAGTTTTAACACTAGTATTACTGATTTGCCACATATAAAGAATATATTTTCCAAAGCACTATGATTCACATGAAGCAAAACTAGATTTTTCGTACCAATCACAGAGAAATACTTACCTGCGCCTCAGAGTTATTTGCATAACTGTGTTCTCCATCTCCACCCTTCATGCTAAGAACACCCGTGAAAGAGTCCCGAATGTATATAACACAAGTTGATTTGATAAGATGAAATCATGAATATCGGACATTAGGGTTATAAATATATAAGCAGAAGAGGGATGCAAAGTAAGACCTTGAGGAAGACATGACATATAGAAAAATCTTTGAATTTTTTGTTTCTTTGTTTTACAAGATGGAGAATGATTATATTTTATAATGGTCTGTATTGACACGCTTTTCCATGTTTAGTTATTTTGCCAACAATTTTTTTAACAGCAAAATAAAAAAAAATAATTCTAATTCTAATTTTATTTGTCACCATAATAGACTTTATGAATTTCCACTAGACCAATTGACATTATTCAATATGGAAGTAGAAACTCAAATGTGGAAACTGGATAGTGCGTTTGATTTCTAAGAATCTACCTTACCTCTCTGACTCTCTCCTTTGTCCCAATTGTACAACGGCAAGTTGAACGACTCCATCTATAATTCCTTCAAAAGTCCTTCTGCAAATATATGAACTATAGTAAATGCATATGATTATAGCTTTTTCATTTATAAATATATTTTCTTACACGCAAAAGAAAAAAAAGCGTACATAAAAAGTTAAATGTGAGTAGATGATTTACTGTTTAAATTTTCTGTTGTTGGATCAGGGCTTGATTATATTTCTATGTAAATAGAATCATACAAACTACGTCAAAGGTGATTTGGATTACGTTAGCATTCAATTTTTTCATCAGATAATCAACTTGTATTATAAAAATCAATTCAGAATTATCAATTTTTACACGTCTCCTTTAAAATTTTAGGAATTGATAAGAACAGAAATTGAGATAATCTCTTCAAAATAAAAGAAAAACATTTGCGTTCGTATTTTAGTTTAGTCTTTAAGATGCTAAACATATATGGTGCATTTGTCGTTGAATGATCTGAGAACTGGATGGCATAAACATAACGCATGTGTGTTTAGGAACATTTATTCAAATTTATGCTAATGGACAAAATAAGAAAATATTATATTTCTTTTAATGGTTTAACAGAGGAGTAGTTGGAGCTTTAAAAGATCAAGTTGGTTTTAAGCAAATAATTGCAGAAGAGAACGTTTGGCCCATTCTTAAAGGAGTAGACCAGGATATACATCCCCATGCTCATTCGTCTCGACAGTCCCAAGCTCATTATTAATCCAAGAGAATGTAATGGAGTGGTGGATTAGCGAAGAACTATGTTCCTAAGTTAAATTTGATGATGTTAAGTTTCCGAGACCTTTCTAATGGATCAGTTTTATTTAGACTTTGATTTTTAGTTTCTCGGAGATCCACCGGAAACATCTATTTCCGACAATTCGTCAACGATAGCTACCGTCGGTATATGACTTACTTCTTGTAGCGCAAGTTAGTGTGGGTTCTATGCCTAAGTGTCACGAAGACTCTAACTTAAGAAGAAGGTTTCTGTTGTAACGGATGCAAGAAGAAAAACAGTAAACGTAAAGATTGCACACAGAATTAATGTGGTTCACCAACGATGTGTTGGTTACGTCCACGGGCAAAGGAGACTGATTTTATTACGGAGACAGAAAGTTCAAAATACATCAGAGATTAAGTTATCATGCTTATTTATAGCATAAACCCTAATTAACCCTAACCGCAATTGGGCTCGTTCACTTAGGCCCATGTCAAAGCCTTCATGCAGAAATAACGGCCCAAATGCACGCAAACTTCTACATTGTTCACGCAGGCTGTAGTCTTCAACATCAGCTTACACAGCATGTAGATCTCAATATCAGCTTCAGCATGCAGCATATACACATACACACACAACCTCAAGACGCTGCATGTAAACTTAACATGCAGCATGCAGCATGTAGACATACACACACAACCTCAAATGCAGCATGTAAACTTAACATGCTGCAAGTAACCTGCATGCTTGATCACGCATGCTGCATGATTGATCGTGCAGCTTGCACGCATCAACGCCAGGAAGCTTCTACGCTCCAGGATTCAAGGCATATCAACAAATCTCCACCTTGACTTGAATCCTCTAGGAAGCTTCTACGCATTAGGATTCAAGGCGTATCAACAAATCTCCACCTTGACTTGAATCCTACAGACAGATGTATCAGATGCACCATCATAGTGCCAGAAGTACCAAACCTCTCCTTTGCCTCAGAATGCCAAACATGCACACTTAATGTGCTAGATGTGCCAGATGTTTCAACAATCAGAAAACCAGATTTCCTTTCGGACCAGATGTCCATAACTGGACTCAGATGCTCCTACGGAGCCAAACGCCCTTCACCGGGCTCAGATGCTCCTGCGGAGCCAGACACCCACTCGGGCCAGATTAACAGCTTGTGATGTTCAACAAGTCCAAACAATGTTTGAACTTGTTCTGAGGAACTGCCTTCGTGAAAATATCCGCAGGATTATCAGCAGTTCCTACCTTTTTCACATTGATCCTCTTCTCACCTCTAAGAAAATGATACCTTACGTCAATGTGCTTGGTTCTTTCATGATAAACTTGATCTTTAGCTAGACAAATCGCACTCAGACTATCACAGTATACGATAGCTTGATCATGCTGCATACCCAGATCACTAATCAGCCCCTTTAACCAGATACCTTCTTTAGCCATAGCATACATCAGGCTTCCTACAGCGCTAGCATAAGGGACTCGAGACATATATTCGATTTCTTCTTCAGACTGAGTGGAAAACATAGTGAGATGAACGTTTATTGCGGTTGGAGTGTCAATAGGTTTAGCTGAAGACATTCCAAACCTAGCTAAAACCTTTTCGATGTAGGTTTTCTGCGACAAGAAAAGCTTCTTCTGTCTTCTGTCTCTGAAGATTTCCATTCCTATAATCTTCTTCGCTGCACCCAGATCTTTCATCTCAAATTCGGAGCTAAGCAGATCCTTCAGCTTCTGAACGTCACACATCTTACTTGCAGCTATCAGCATGTCATCCACGTAAAGCACCAGATAAATATATGATCCATATTTCAGCTTGCAGTAGTAGACACAACAATCATAAAGGCTCCTGATGTATCCCAACTTGTTCATGTAGCTGTCAAACCTCTTATACCACTGTCTGGGAGACTGTTTAAGACCATATAACGATTTTCTTAACTTGCAAACATATTCTTCTTTCCCAGGAACTTCGAAGCCCTCTGGTTGAGTCATGTATATCTTTTCTTCCAACTCTCCATGAAGAAAAGCAGTTTTCACGTCAAGTTGTTCAAGCTCCAGATCCTGACGTGCCACTATTGCAAAGCAGCGCTCTGATTGAAGTGTGTCTGACTACTGGAGAAAAAATCTCATTGTAGTCAACTCCTTCTCTTTGAGTGAAACCTCTCGCAACAACCCGAGCTTTGTACTTGACTCCTTCTGCAGGTGATATCCCTTCCTTTATTTTGAAAATCCATTTGCAAGTAACAATCTTTCTCCCTGATGGTCGTGCGACCACATCCCATGTCTGATTCTTATCATGAGACTGCATCTCGTCTCCCATTGCAGATACCCATTTTTCAGCATCAACACATGATATGGCTTCTCTATACGTAGAAGGATCATAAGTATCCACCTCTTCAGCGACCTGTAGTGCATATCCGACCATATCTTCAAAACCATATCTCATTGGCGGTCCAACTCCTATCCTCTTTGGTCTGTCTTTCGCAATACTGCGTGTTGTAGTTCCAGATGGTTCAGTTTCTAATAGAGTCGGTTCTGGTTGAACGTCTTCTCCATGTTTCCCTTGACCCTCTTCGTGTTGCTGCAGATCGCTCTCTTCACGTTCAACCTCCTGCTCCACCTGCTTGTCAACACTATCACTCTCTGCGGAAATTGTAGGCTCTGCTGAGAATCGGAGCATAGAACTTTCATCAAATACTACATTTCTGCTTGTAATGACTCTCCTTTCTGATGGGGACCAAATCCTGTATCCTTTGACTCCATCTCCATAGCCCACAAATATTCCCTTCTTTGCTCTTGGCTCAAGCTTGCCTTCACACACGTGGTAATAGACCGTGCAACCAAAAACTTTCAGATAAGTGTAGTCAGCAGGTTTACCTGTCCACATCTCAATTGGTGTTTTGCATTCAATACCTCTGTGTGGTCCACGATTTATCAAGTAGCATGCAGTACTTACAGCCTCGGCCCAAAATTTCCTTTCTAAGCCAGCATTTGAGAGCATGCACCTCGCCCTTTCCAGCAATGTCTGATTCATCCATTCAGCTACACCATTCTGCTGAGGAGTATCTCTAACTGTGTGATGACGCGCAACACCTTCATCCATACAAAATTGATTGAACTCTGATGAACAGAACTCCAAGCCATTATCTGTTCGCAACCTTTTAACCTTCTTCCCTGTTTGATTTTCCACTAAGGCTTTCCACTGCTTGAAATTCTTGAAAGCTTCACTTTTGTGCTTCAGCATGAACACCCAAGTTTTTCTTGAGTAGTCATCAATCATGGATACAAAATATCTGCGACCTCCCAAAGACTCCACGCGAGAAGGACCCCAACAGTCTGGGTGAATATAATCCAGCGTGCCTTTTGTTCTATGAATGGCCTTAGGAAACTTGCTGCGGTGAAGCTTTCCATAAACACAATGTTCACAAAACTTCAGACTCTTGACTTCATGGCCATCAAGAAGATTTCCCTTTGACAGAATTTGCATTCCTCTTTCACTCATGTGACCAAGCCTCATGTGCCATAGCTTTGTCATATCTTCCTTGTGAATTTCCGGTAATGCAATATTAGCTGAGCCTGTAACCGTGAAACCTTGCAAGATGTACAAGGTACCATGTATGACACCCTTCAGGATCGTGTCAGAACCCTTGCAGACATTCAACACGCCATTTCCACCAGAATACTTGAAACCCTTGCTGTCCAATAGACTCAGAGATATCAAATTTTTTGTCATAGACAGAGCATATCTCACATTGGTCAGCGTACAGAATCTACCATCATGTGTCCTAATGTTGATTGATCCAATCCCAACAACTTTG